CTGAGTCTGGTTTAGTATCTGCTGCTGACTCGTTTTGTGTCTGCAGGCAAGTCATTTAACCTCTGGGAGTCTTGATTCCAATTCTGTAAAAGGTGTAGAACAATATCTATCCTTCTAGGGTTATTTTGAGGATTCAACAAGAAAATACATTTAAAGCATTTAGGCCAGTGCCTGGTACAGAGTGGACACCTCCAAAATACATGAGTTCCATGCTCTCTGTTGTATGAGCCTCAATATCACAATGCTAAAATGATATGGATAATCCCCACCCCCGCAAACACACACATGCACATACACACTCACAGGGTGGCTCTAAGTCTAAAGTGTAGGACTATAGATTCATCCATTCCCTCATTTCATTATTTATTTATTCTCTTATCCTAATGGTCCTGCACATTAGATTCACCTGGTGAGCTTTAACAATCCTATTACCCACACAGGTCAATTAAATAATTAAATCAGAGTCTTTAGGTTGGAGATCCATTGGTATTTTTCTTAATTTTTCCCAGCTGTTTTCAATGTGCAGCCAAGGCTGAGAACCACTTCCTTATCTAAGCCCTGCCCAGTAATTTCTGCAGCTGGAATCACTACCGGTGATTTAAAAAAAATACCACTGTGCTGCCCGCCTCCAGTCACACAGCAATGTTGTCAGTATCTCTGAAAGAGATTCAGCCATTGCAACAGTTTTTAAAGCTACCCAGGTGATTCCAATCTGTAGCCAGGTTTGAGAATTGCTGCTTATACTAATACCCTCACAGGTGCATTTATCTGTATTAGAATGAGTATTTACTATTTGCTAGGGCAATTGTGCATTCAGGAAAGAGAAATAGCCATATGTTTTAGGGATTATTGGGTGCTAGCTCTAAGCAAATAATTTCTGAATGCCACTGTAGTTAGAATGGGGACTTACAATAGTTAGGTGACAAAAGGAAATTTGTAGGTCTGGTGGAATTCCTCACACATCCTATGGCTACTTCCACACTTTCTGATTATGCAGTTGGAATAAATATACTCTGTGACTCAAAATCTTTACGTTGTTTCTCAGATTCGTAGAGTAAGAGACTTTACTGTGTCAAGAGCTAAGTGAATGCCTCTGGAGTATCTGCTCTATAAGCAGAATAGTAAACCAAAATCAATACTGCATTCTTGGAGGAATTACAAAGATGAATGCTACCATTAAAGACTTGAAAGATGAAGGGGTACTGAATCCTATCATATTTCAACTTACTTTAGGGCTTTGCATAATGCAGAAGACAGATGGATCTTGGAAAATTAAAGTAGAGATACAGTTGACCCTTGACCAATGCAGGGGTTTGGAGTGCCAACCTCACCACTCCTGCATAGTCAAAAATCTACATAGAACTTAAGTCGGCCCTCTGCATATGCAGATTCTCAACCACTGATCGAAAATACAGTTAAAAATAATACAGTTTAAAAATCTGCATGTAAGTGGACCCATGCAGTTCAAACTCATGTTGTTCAAGGGTCAACCATAGTAATAAGAGGTAAGTCGAATTGCAGCTGCTAAAATGCTTTATTCTCTGTCTCAACAAGCAGAGAATCCAGAAGCCATTTGTTTTTACCTGGTAAGGATAGCAATACACCTTCACAATTTTGCCTCAGAGTTATGGCAACACGGCATCTAATGTTCAGTTTCAGGGGTACACGCTGTGGCATTTGGTGCCCAGATGAGGCAGAAACAGCTGTGCCTTCCCAACATTTTCACAGCATGATTTTGAGCATCAGTGCTGGCTGCATAGCCCTTGAGCCAGTTCCCAAATAACCCACCACCATCTGCCTTCTGGGTCACATACCTTTCATAAATTTATCTTATATTTAACTCAAGCAGAAGTGTGGCTTTTGCCTACAACTAACACGGACGCATGCACATATATCTAGGAGGCCCTAGAGGGCAGCAGACAGCATATGTGCTTGAAATGGTGCTAGGTAGGAGCACTTTGACACTGGCTCAAAGGCCTTAGAAACCTAGAGGACAAGGGGGACGTATATACTCTCCTGATCCTGCTGGCTCCCAGGCAGAGTGTGTTTTAGACCTAGACTTAGAATGGGGGGAGGGGTTTCACCTCCAGTAAGAGGTCATTGGTCAATTTCTCTCCTGAGGATTTCTAAAGCAGAAGACCTGAATCAGGAAGCACCTCTGGTGTCCCTTTCTTGCATCATCTAGTTCTTTATGCACCGCTCTTATCTTCTGTCAAAAGTGTTCCAGTTGCCCTTGGACACCAGTCCTATCCTCCTGCTGAGAGCCTTATTTATCTTAGACATTACTGACCATAGTGGGTTTGCCAGGTTTTCAGCTATTTACTCTCTATTTTCTTTTCTAATTGCATCCAGATTTTCTACTGGGGAATTATTCCTCTCGCCCTGCCCCCTTACTGTGTAGAGTCCTGGTGAGTGGCAAGATTTGGGGGCTGAGCAAGAAAAAACACATGACCACAAGGTGGCAGTAGCGTGCAGTGAGCTGTCTTTGGGCGGTGCTTGGACCGGGCTGCATGGAAGGGACATCCCCATAGCAGAGGACCTTCTTGGAATAGTGAGGTCAGCCACCGCCTGGAAGGGAAATGGGCAAAGGACCTCTTGGAAGAGAAAAGACTCCTCCATCTTTCAGGGGTTTACATGTCTAGGTGAGGAGGGAAGTCTCTCGGTCAGAAAACTCTTGAAGGGCAGCAGTGGCTTGGGGTTTGTCTTACCTGTGGCCAGCAGATGTTGGGTGCAGTTTTGCCAGGTATGCAAAGCAGGCCGGCACTAAGTGGCTAAAAATATGCTTGGGCTGTATTGATCTTTTAGAGTAGATTTTGTCAACCAGTTCACTTTCTGAACTGAAGAACACTGACAATGATTGAGTGACAATTTTCCCAATTCTTCCAAAAGCCTTTGTCTTTTCTCTTTCTTCCTGCCTGGGATCAGACTCTAGACCTAGACCATGGAGCTGGAGGATCCTACACCAAGGATGGCGAAGTAAGGAGCTAAGAGGAGCCTGCACTTTGATGACATTTTAACCAGCTGTAAGCCCTGGACTATATACCTTTAGGTTTCTTACCTCATGAGAAAAATAAGCTCCTTATTTGTGAAGTGTGAGATTGAATAGGACTCACAGGGTGCCATCATAAGGCAATTTTATTTTTATCTCCCAATCTCCAAGCTTGTTCTGTGGTGATGGTTCATTGCCACCCTTTGCATCGAATATAGGGCAAGCCCATGTCTCTTCTGGACACTTTCTATTGGTAAAAAGTTCCTGGGTCACTTCAAGTTATAAAAGTCTCATTTCAGTAACTGCAATTTAAAGAACCATATGGAGTGGTCAAATTCATGA